ATTAAGACTTGGTCGGTGGCTAGTGCACTTCAGATACATATGACAAAACCATTCGCGTAAAATTATTTCTTTTTCTTCTTCTTATCGGTCCATTTCTRAAAGTGGTCCTAACCAACGCTGCTAATTAAACATTACAATTATAAATTATAAGCTCTCTCCGTTCATTTCTGATKATTAATGTACGCTATTTGGTTTGTCATATTGTTAATTTTTTCAGATATTTAAAAATATACAGTACCTATATAGTATATAGACATATTATAGTAGATATTCGATAGGTATCAATAAATCACATCTATAACCTATTTACAAAGTGATTCACCAAACACGGTCACTYCCATTTTTACTTTAATGATGAATTTATTGAAACTCAGATTTTTGAATTTTTAATAAGATACCTACATATTAAGATCTTATTTTCAAATGTTTAAGCTTTTTTATACTACGAGTCCTGTGGCAATACAAATTTTCGATCTTTCTTTTTTTAATAATAATCTCCTAATATTACCAATTAAGCGCCCAAAATACATTTCAAATCCATCATCATGATTCAAGGACCTATTTTCCTAAGAACACATGCACAGTTAAACAACTCGAAAACTACKAATTCGAATATGGATTTTGATGAGCAAACATTTTTAGAAAAACTATCCGTTACCTAAGTAATATTTAGAGCATAAAAGGATGGCGATTCTCATTTGGAAAATGGAAGTTCACATGTCCACAATCCGCAAGTTAAAATAGTCTCAATAATTTGAAAATATTGTTGRTAGTTTTTGAGAATATTTGAAAATGTCAAAAATCAGATTTTGAATAACTCAGTATCTATTTGAGTAAAAGTGAATGATCCATGCTTATAGCTGGTTAGGTATGAAAATACACAGAAGACAGGACTCGGCTGTTTATCACGTATCGCGCATTATATATTATGTAATTGAACGAGTAGGTCCCGCGTATTGTTGTGAAATATTTTGTCAGTAATTTTCACACGACCCATTGTTGGTTGTAGGTATAACTACTTTATTGTTTAATACAATTTTACCAATTATTTTACTATACCACTGTACAATCACATCATGCAAAATAATATTATTACAAACTACGTAATATACTGTATTCATGTATACACATCGTGCAGATGCGTAAGTATAATATCAATATGGTTAATGTCTGCAATGTTACAATATAGTTATTACGACCTCCCCACATCCATTGGCCTATATTTTGTCGCGGGTTAATTAATAAAAAAAATAGTTATTACATACCTACTTGATTTAAATTTCGACCAACAATTATTTGATAGATATTTATGACACGGATAGTGGTGATCGCAGCTCATAAGTGCTATAAGTATATATATATATATCTTTTTTTTAATATTCAAACCAAGACATTAAGTATAATATAGATGACTCCAAAAGGCTTAACTACAATATAAAATTTACCTCGCATTAATAACTTAACGTTTAGCGTCAACAATTAGTTGAGAAAATGGTCCTTACTTTTTCACCGGAAAACTTRGTGTCGGTGTGAACTGTGCTGAGCACATATTACCCTCATGTACCATTGCTTGTCTGTTCATCATCTAACCGRCATGCTGCAGTGCTCGACATTTTTAGAGAGTATCTATACCTGGCTACCTATTTACTGTTAACTTTAATATGCTTTATAAGGTATTGAGACAGATATTAAGTAACAACAATATACTATAGACTATAGTCCACGGTTTTATTGCACCTAACGCATATTTGTGCAATTTGGTGGTAGCTGAGGGTGTTAAGCTGTTAACTAATCAGAACCAACAAATAATACTATGCTATGGTGCATAAGTGTAATATTTTCAGTTATTTGTATCCAACTGTTTTATAAACATTTATRTTTTCAAYTAGAGTAAACAGTTAACCTAGCCACATTGGTATGACGTATAGTGTAGATATGACCATAATATATACGTTTATGGTTCATAATTAAATGCCACGATTATATTTTATATTATTAATATTTTTTGAGGGGACTAGCACCTCTTCCCGCCGTAGCGAGTAGAACTTCGAAATAAATACCTACAACTGCAGTCATAAAACAACAACAATAATAATAATAATAAATATAATAATACCTCTGGTGTCGTCTCGTACCTCACGTTAGTGACCTTTGGACTTTCAACAAGATTTAGTGGCAAATTGCAGTGCCGTCTAATTGACCTACTGTCTCTCAAATTAAAATGTTTAAAAACAACAACTAAAATCCAACTTATGAAGGTCTTGATAAACAGTGGTCTTTATATCCACCTTCTTCTAGAACAATTTCAAATTTYGAAACCATTTTTAACACCAAACCACTAAAGACCCGTTTTATAATCATAATTTAAACCTAGGTTACGCTTGAACCACTGATTTTACAGGCCGAATTCCGTGGTTTAACAGCTGGAGTTCAACTATTGTAAATACGAGCCCTGAGCTTCCTTTATCTCGGATGAACCAGACCTAATTACTGCAACTATGGTGGCTGGATTGAACATAATCCACCGGAATCTACTACCTGGAAGCAACCATATACCTAGACAGTATAAAGAAATGAACTGATAACAGACAGGGTTCAGGCATCGAAAAAAGATTGGGTCCAGGGGCAAAAATTGTTGGAAAAATATAGCACATAACTTGGGTACCATTAAYAGCAAGAGAGAGAGAGGAAGAGAAAATAGGTCAACAAAGATCAGAAAAAAAAAGCATACACATTAGCCATTAAGTGGTCAGGTTCCATTATGTTACACGGGTATTGACTACCTCTTTCTAAAAAAGTTGGCAAATGGAACCATATGATAGGATATGGTGGAAGCGCAGTCTAACAATTCACCAAACATTGTGCTGTGTTAGTTAGGTATCAACTGCATTACTCAGATATAAACACGGGCTTATATTGTAAACTAAAACAATAATCACGGTGTATACAATTATAAAATTTCATTAAAATGGACTTTTTTTCTTCGTTATTTACCCTTGAAAATAACTGACAAAATATGTTAGTTAATACATACATACATAGGTACAGTTTATGATAATACAGTAAAAAATGATCCACCTGTCCAAAATAAATGTTTTTATTGTTTTTAATTATTTTATAACACTTACGAGTAGCTAATTATGTATATGATAACTGATTATAATTATGAACTATTTACTCGCTCTTATATTAAAAGCTTAAGATAAATGTAAAAGTATATTTTTTTATCACTATGGGTTAAACATTCATAGACTCAGGTCAAAATAATAAATATATTTAATTATATTAACACTATAATGAGAGTCAGTTGTATAGGTGCTAGTATACGAGTATTGCATTATTTACATACCTGTGTTTCAGTAATAACCATATACTAAAACAAAACTAAACGTCCTTGAGTAGATTTAGTAACATTTTTTTTTTATTAGAAAACATAGCGGACAGTAAAATAGTATTATAGTTATAATTTTTTGTAGTTTGAACTAACAGTATGTATAAGACAAGTGTATTATRGCTTTTTGCTCTACTGTGGTCATTTGGACTAGCAGTCACACCAATACCATCACGGTCACCCGACAAAAATAACAATGTTGACTGTACAGGACCGATTGCATTTACATCAACAGGGAGTATATCAGTCCATTCTACAGGTCTGGTAGCATATAAACAGAATGTTGTTAACCTAGCTGTTACATGGGATCCTGAGGTTGGTGTCTATACTTGCATTTGTTCCGGCCTCTATCAATTTTCATTCTCTGGTTCCACCGAAGAAAACACAAGGTAACATACATTGGTTACAAAGGAATATGTTTTTAGTCAACCGTGCTAATAATATCATAACGATAACACAGGATGGTATTGAAGAAAAGATTAAACAACGGTAAACAGTGGACACCAATAATAGCAACAAAACCAGGTGGTGGATCAGCTACAATATTTTTAGAAGTAGAAAGTGGAGATCAAGTAGCTGTATATTTGGATGGCAATTCAAAGAAATTCAATGCTAGACATGAACAAGGCGTAGAAGTTACATCATTCAGTGGTTACAGAATAGCAAAATCTTAGTAAAATTTTAGTGTTGATTTACTTACCTACAACAAATACAAAATTTGTATTATGATAAATATATAATACCTAAAATTAAAAAAAAAAAAATTTAAGCTCGAAAATTGTTGTGCAAATTTATACTGAAAATCTTTATTTGATTTTTTAAAAATATTATTTATACCTAAACAAGCAATAAAATAATGTTTAATATGCTGTATGTGTTACTGATGAATAATCATTAGCAATACATTAAACATTGATTTTATACATTAAACATTAAACATTAACACATACACAAAAGTAATGAAGATTAAAAATAATACGGCAAACATAATCTTATTACTTTGATATTTATTAAAATCAACAAATCAAATCAATTACCACAAAAGTTGAAAACAAAACTTTATTTTTAATATTTAACTCGCGAATCAAATTTATAGTTTTTAATAGATCAATAGAAAATTATTTTATATATCATTTTTCCAACAATTATAAGTTTACTTGCAATATCTATCCTTAGTAGTTATGCGTATTCAAAAATAAGTATGGCAATAAACTGTTGACAATTAGTTTTTAATTTATGCTGATATTTTGTAAATAGTATTTAGTAATATTCTAGATTGCCAAAAAGTTAAAAATATCAATAAAATAATTTTTAATTTGTTACTCATCAAATTCTTAAATATATCAATATAATATTGTTATTTTGTTATTTTTTTTCTATTATTAAATATTTAAATGCATCAAAACCATATTAGTAATTTTTTTTTTAATATGAAGCTCTTAACATTTCTATATACATTAAAAAAATAGCAATTAATAAAACATTTACAGCACATTAAAATACATAAAAAATAAATTAAAATAAGTAACTTGCATTCAAATTTAACTTCTATGGCTAATAACAGAGATTACTCGGTATATAATAATAATGATAATAATAATAAAAGGAATAATAACCAATTACAAACTGAGCGACAAATACAAAATAATATTTCATATAGAAGTTTAAAAACTCGTTGCACTTATAAAATAATCATTTAAATTGATTATAAAAGTTAATTTATTAATATAAAATATAAAATTAAATTTATTATAAAATAGGTTGTTTATTAAATAAATTCACAGCKTTTAGAAATATTTGTTTTGGGATATATTAGAATAAATGGCACCGTGCTTTGGACCACAATAGATTATTTTAACTTATTAAACATATTATTTATAAATAAATATATTTTAATTAACATTTTATTAGTTTGTATTATTTTACCTAATTTAAAGCAGCAGATGTTAATAATGCAACTCCTCTTTCATAGAATGTGTGATGATCTTGTCCGGGAGCTACATCTAGTTCTACAGTGAATAATAATTCAGCTCGAGTAGAATTCAAATACACTGGTAGAGACAGTTTATCAGGTCTTAAGCGTTCTTCTGCCGATACACTAGAAAATATAAATTCCACTTAGGAAACTAACTTTAGACATTTCAAATAAACAAATAATACACTTACTGCGTCCATCGTAACAATGTCACTGGTAAATCAGTCATTATTGATGAAGTTAACAACAACTGATTATTACGACATTGTGCACCCTGTAGTTTTAAACCTTAAAACATAAAAAAATATTTTACAATAGAATGTTAATATATTTTTTCTTTAAATACACAAATGCTTACCGATAACACCAAAGCTACATTCATCCTGTTGAACTGAATCATACTCTAATGCATCAGTAATTGTCACATCTAGGATTAATTCTTCCAAGGACCAAGAGTTGGCTTGTGCAATACACTGTCTAGTAGCTGTTATATAAGCTTCTGGATTTAATAAGCCCCCAAGCCACACTGGAAATGACTATAAACACAACAGTTGTAAGTATAGAACTAATACAAAAAAATTATACTCAAGTGTTTAAAATAACTTACTTTAATTTGATTGGCACCTCGTTGAGAAACAAGCTGTGATACTTGTTGTAGTTGCTTGACACGTTGGCTAAAATCAGACACCCATTGGATTACTGTACATCCACTGGGTACAGTGTATCGTCGCCAACCGACTGGCAATTTTCCTTTAACTAAATCACTGAACAAGCTTCTATGATAATTTGTTTGTTTCTTTTCCCCCTATGAATAACAAAAAAAAAAAAAAAATTAATAATACAAAAATATTAATGAGCACTTGATATAACATTTAACATACTTGACAAATAGAAACTACTTCATTTAAATCATGAATAACTTCCTGTAATAACTTTGAACCAAAGTTGACTTCTCGCTCGAAATACCGATATAGTGGATCCTTGATGTTTTCTACAGTACGTTTTAATGTCTGAAGTGATTGAGGTAAAAGTTGTAGCCAGGTAGTTGCTGAGTTATGCAATGTTCTCATCCAAGCTGGACGACCATCAGATGTTGGAAGTCCAATACTAGAATCAGGTCCTCCGTCTTTAACAGCTTGTTCGGTAACATAAGCAAGTTCATCTTCATCCTCAAGTTGCTGCATCTTCAATAATTTGCTGACCAAATCAGTACCTATTTAATTTTGAATTTATTAATCATAAATTCATAAATCAAAAATTTTTTCTTCTTAGTTCTGACATACCTCTAGTTGTTAGTAGTACTTTTTCAGCATTATTTGGTAATCCTAACCACGATGGCGATTGTCTATCTGAYAAATTTTCAATCCAATGTAAAAAGTGATCTCGTCTTGATCCATTGGGCATTGTAATATGCCTAAATGTTTAATAAATATTATATAAAAAATTAGATAAAAATAATATAAATAATACCTATTATCTCCTCCRACACCATCTACATTGGCTACTAATGCAAATCCTGCTTCAAAACTACGTGCTGTGAATAACTTGCTTAAAAATGATGTTAATAGTCTTTGGTCATAGTCATTATCAATTTTACCACCATAAATACATTGTGACAATAAAGTGACAAGTGCGTCCCATGGAATTTTCTCAGGAGGTAAATTTGTACGGCCCTAAATATTAATTAATTAATTATCTAAAAATCTATTTTATTACTTAAATAAAAAAATACTTTTGCTGTTGTTTCAATCCATGTATCCAATGTGTCACAAGCAACTCTAAGATCAGACTCATTGAATTCATAATGTTTGGCCCAACCAAGTGGAGTATAACGTAGACGCTCTTGTACAATAGCATGGAACCATGCAAGTAAAAAGTATAATCTGGCTCTTTCATTAGGTACTTTCATCATGCGTGATGCCGGAATCTAAAATCACATTATGTTGAATATTTTGCTAATAAAATATAYCATTTATCATTGCATACAGTATTGAATGTCCGTAACAAATTCGCTTTTACACCGGGGGGCGGTTCAAATACAAATATGCGTCCTGCTCGCAATAAATTTACAGGTACAGCAGAATTTATTTCCATGGTCAAAAATAGTCTGAAGTTGGTATGTGGTTGAAGACTGTGTAATTTTTTTTCAAGCTGTACTAACCATTGAGGAGCCAAATGAACATTTTTCAACAAGACCCATCTTAAAATTAATAACAAAAAATTAAAAGCTTTTAATGAAATAATATTTAAAATTTATAAATATAAATTAGTATTATGTTTCATACCGTCCAAGACGAACTGCAGAATTTATTGCATCAGTAGCTTGACGGAAACCTTCAGCTGAACCAATCGCTACAGACGACAACAGTTGGTTATGTTGAGTAGCAAGATCATCAACACGACCAGAAGCATCATAACCAGGGGCTGAGCATAAAAGTGCTGGAACACTACAGTCCAATTCATTTAGRACAATAGTTGCTAAATCAGGTTCACGCTCTGCTGAAGAGGTTAATTGAGTACCCAAAGTTGCTTCGACAAATAGATTAGCAGATGCAATCACTCTATCTGGTCGGAATGCCTAATTTTAGAATTTWAAGAAATATAGACATCACATATATATTATTTAAATTAAATAAGTTGTTTATTAGAAATACTTGAATAGCAAGCAGTTGATACATGGCAGTAGCCACAGGACTAAACGGAGTTGATTCGTCCCATAATTTAGGTACGCATTGTTCAGGTGTATTTTGAGCAAGCCAAGGACCAAACTCGGGCATCTCCTCAACTCGTTCTGATAAATTTTTAAACAATGAAATTCTATGTGATAACCTCATCATAGCTTCAATTTGTTCTTGGTTCAGACTACTAAGAGAACCCTGTCCTGATGAGTTATTGGAGCTCAAAACTCCTTCTTTGCCACGAAGGAAAAATTGAAACTCAGAGTCCAATATATTACCAATAGGTGATCCCTTTAAGCTGATTCGACATAACAATATTGCTAATGTCAACCTATCGTTATGTAACATTCCTCTGGCTACTCTTTCATAACATACCTAGAAATGATTTATTTTTGGTTTTAATATTAATACAGATAATAATTTTTTTATTCTTACAGTGAATAAATCCTTAGTGACAATATCCAATCGAGCTGTGTGATCAGTGACAGACGCCAATCTGGGATTTGATAATAAAACTGAACTGAAGATATCCAAAAAGAATTTTAATGAATACTGATAGAGAAAATGAACTTGATTTAAACTGTCCATAGTGAAGTACATGTTGCTGCAGGCTTGAGCTAAAGGTTTATATTGCTGAGAAACTGTTTCAATTTCAGCAATAACTTTGTCTGTTTCTTCCACTTTTTTGCTGATATCTGCTGCTTCTTGTTTTAGTCTTTCTAATGTTGTTATTACAGAATCATTATCCAATATTTTACCCTTAGCTTCATTTAACGCTTGTAACAGTGATTTTTCCAATTGTCTTAAACGCAAGTGGAACTCACCTAAAATAGATTAATATTTTTAATACATTGCTTAATTAATAATAACATAATAATGAATAATTGCATTTATTAATAAATATACTTACCCTGAAGTTTGAGCAAGTCAGACCGTTTTGTGTCAATATCAGGCCTTTCAGCCTTCAATACGCGATCTAAGCATTGACTTTGTAAGGATGACCTGGTTACTGTAAAGTTGACAAACATTACTCTAGAACATATGTCTGGTGAGAATTCAACAGTTGGATCACGAGTAGACAAAAAAATGACAAATTTTGGAGATAAATCTATATCTTGGTCTCCAAGTGTTATTAAAACACGACCTCCGGTACGACGAAGTTCACGATTTAATACAGGATTTAAAATTGGATCATAGTTTTCAACATCCTRAAAGTGCAAATAATAAATACACCGATGATATAGCTTATATTTAAATTCAAATAG